CCTAATCTTTAAATAGTAGTTGAGTCCATCGCCGGTATGCCCGAGGGTGTACTGGCGATGTATCTCGGCTAATCCTAGGTTGGTTCCTAGCCGGTTGTTCAGCTCGGCTATCCCGGCAATTATCCTATAGGTGTTGGTTGAGACTTGCGTTGGTGCTAGCCCGGTGCGCCTCAAGAACTCACACATGAGGGGATTGACCGGGAAGCGAAGGCCGCCTTCGATAATGGAAAGCACGGTGAAAGGGCACTGGTCTAGTCTACTCCAAGGGGTTGTGTCCTCGGCACCGAGCTCTAGATGTACGTCGGTGGGGATGCCATATTCTTTCCGGAACGCGGCTAGTGCAACTGGCGTGTCAACAAGGAAGCGATAACGCCCCATGTGAAGCCGGCTGATTTTAGCACGGTTGGTTTGGTTTGGTAAAAATCTCGGTTGATGGCTGCTCGGCCTTTGAGAGCCTCAGAATTGGTGCGTGGTCCCCTTGGACTCTGCAGTAAAAGGAAGTGTAAGTGTAAGTGGGAGCGCGGTCGCGCAAAACGAGCTTGACTTTAGCTCGGTCAGACAGATTGCCAAACCATCTCGGTCACGAAGGTGAGCCCAGAAGCCTGGCTGCCCAAGCGGACCAGATTTTAGCCCAGTCGAGCGGTCCGGCACTCTGTTACCTCGGTTCCTATGCGAGTTTTGCAAACTTGTAATTTGTTCAGTTTTGGTTTGTTTTGGGATCAAAAGAAGGCCTGGAGCTCGGTTCGCCCCAGGTCTTCCTGTGTTCATCACTGAAGTTGAAGGACAGTATCGAGAGCAGGGGCAGAAGAGGGTCTTGGGGAGCTATATCCTCAAACCTATAGCTTTTGCGCCCTAAAATGTGAAATACCAAATGGAAAAACAATGAAACGACTCGAAGAACTTACCAGAAAGAGGCAAAAGTTGGATCTTCGAGAGCAAGAATGGAGCTTGGTAATTGAGGGCAAGAATGCTGCTTGGTCGTTTGGAACGAAAGAGAGGCAGTAAGAAGGAAATGCAAAGGGGGAAGTGGCGTGTTTATAGGAGGAAAAGGCCGCCTAAATTTGAATCTGAAGAGGCGGCTGGGTTGGCTGCTCGAGGCCAATAAATGCTCGACGCGTGTCCCCGTTGACGACGGCGTCAGTATTGAAGAGATAGGGAGGCGAGTTGAGACGTCAACCGAGCAAATCAAGAAATCGAGCTTAGGGATTAGCGGTTAACGTTTTGCGAACTAAGAACCGAGGGAGAATCTACCCCGGTCGGATCAGGTAATCCTAGTCACGCTTGCGCGGACGGAATTAAGCGACAATTGAGAGGGAGATTTATAATCTGGCTTTGGGCTGTGGTAGAAGTCGGACACGATAGGGCCAAACATGTTTGGGCCGAGCTAAGTTGGGCTTGACCAGAGTGGGTTTTGCTCGGTCGAGGCTCAGGTTCCCTGTTTCGGCCGAGCTAACTGGGACTTTTCTGAAGCTAGTCTTGCTCGGTCGAGGCCTAGGCTCGAGGTCGAGGTCCCGTGTTTGGATCGAGCTTACTTGGCTGAGATGACCGCCTGCCAACCCGGGTTCCATGGTTTGCATGTGTAGCTCGGCGGGAAAGGCCTTTTGTTCGTTGGCTTGACCTGTCTTGAACTCGGTTCTGCCGAAATGCTACCAAGCTCGGCTGTTAAGGAGCTCGGCGAGTGGAGCACTCGGACTCGTTACACAGCACGATCGTGGAAGGCCGAGGAGATGCCGCCGGGCTGCCGAGTTCCTGTTAATGTTGTTTGGCGGTTTGGTTAGGAGGTGTTCGCTGAATTTGTGTTGACAGATGGGAGAGCAGCTCCACGTGTCAAGAGACTAATGGGTGCAGAGTTGAGCGCAAAAAGTATATAAGCGTGACCGCGCCCCCTATGCTGGGGATGGAACATCATTTTGGTAAGAAACACTTATTGTGATTTTATCTCTCTCTTCCTCTCTCTCTCCCTGAGTGTGTGTGCGAACTTGATCGTCAGAGGAGTTTTCCGGCCACACACCGCCGGGTAGCTCACCGCTGTTGTGCTCGCAGGTCGATCGGATAGACAAGGAGCTTGGACGAAAGGAGTACGGGCTCCGTGGAATATTTGCTTCCCGTACAGATTGTTTTAGAGGAAATCACTATACAGTGGAACAGAAAAAATGTATATATATATACAAATATTTTATAGAATTTGAGTTACACCCCACCATAAGATAAGTTGCTCCCATCATATTTGTGTAATTTTATTTATTTTTCTGTCCCACTGTTGAGTAATTCTCCTATTATTTTAAGAGGGGGAAGAATAAATAAATAAGAAGAGGAGAGATATAAATGGCAATAGTGTAATGTCATCCTTGCAATTAAGGGTGTTAAGGTCAATTTCTATTTTGTGGTTACATTTTTTACCCGATCAAGTTTGACAAGCTACAATGTGATTTCCTAAATGTGGAAGGGGAAACTTTATTAAATCCATACCTCAAGAGGTAACTGTGTAATTTAACCTTTTTCAAACCATACATAGGGGTGTTTGGCATGCGCTATTTTAACACATCATTTTATTTCAGTTATATTATCTCTTTAGTACGTCACTTTAAATTCAATTTATATTTTACGTTTTTTTATAAAATGTTAAAAAATATATTTATTTAGATCATCCAAAATATTTCCAAATTTTTTATTTGATTTTCTTATCACTAGATATAAAAGTATTAAGATGCATATTAATAAATATACATGAGACACATGCCTTTGTATCTAATGATAAAAAAAATCAAATAAAAATTCATTTATGCATTTCAATTTCATTTTTGAAATTCATGCATCACATGGTCCACTACTAGTACGGTATTAATTGCTAATATCATGTGGGGTTTACCAGATATTGTAATTATTTTAGTCTTTTGTATGTATTTTTTGTACCTGGAATTCAATCCAGTTCACATTTTTTTGGTTTGTAAAAATTTGCACCTATAACTTTCACTCTGTTGTTGAAATAGATAATAGTTAAAACTATGGGCCAAAACCCATTCATTGAAATTAATAGCATAAAACGATATAGGATGTAGATTTAACTGTTGTATAATGAGATTACACATAGTATAGATGTGAACCACACATTATTATATGTTTAATATTTTTGTTTGCCTTATTAATTATCAAATAGTCAAGCCCAATAATTGTTCAACTTATTCTTGAGTTGTTTTATTTCATTCCTTGTAGGCAACAGTGTACTTGGTAGTGGCAACAAACTCAGCAGCAATTCAGGCCTCATTTCTAGCAATAACTGGTGCAAGTAACCTCCAGTGGATGAAATTGTGCGACAAATACACCAGGTTCTGCATCCAAATAGGCGGGGCTTTGTTATGTGGCTATGCTGCTTCTCTCTCATTGGCTCTCATTTCGATCCTATCGGGCTATAGTCTGTTTAGACTCTATTCACCAAAACGCTTCTTTCTCTTGAAAGCTAGGTGATCTTTTACCACCACCCTGCTTCTATGAAAGCATCATGTTCTTACCAGAACTCTTAATTTGAAAGTGGCTACCGTTGAATACTGTAATCTTTATCTCATGTTTTCAAATACTCTCAGCTGGATCAAATTGTGTGCTCAATGTGATTTGCTAGGTTGTTACTTGTAATCTTTATCACAATTACACTGAATTTCCTCAAAATTTTAATTCATATAGAACTTATTACTTCTTCATTAGTCATATTGATAGAAAAATAATGTTATCACTTTTACATTGAATTAATTGTATATCGGTATATCTACACACCATCTGATTAATTTTGATTATTTTTTCCTTACTAAAGGAAAAGATAATTACGCTAAATTTATGAGACTGCTTATAATTTCTCTGAACTTCATGGCTGATCACCCTAATTTACCCTTTGATAGGATGGGATGACCATTGGATATTTACAATTGTGCAAGTCGTTTCTTGGGTTGGATTGAAAAAATTTGCATTCCAACAAGACCCAATTCAATGAATTTAAATTAGGAGTATTTATATCTCAATCTTATTAACTAGACTTATTTACGTAGTCGTATCATTCTTTCAGTTATCAACGTTCTCAAAATACTCACTCGTTGCCTTCTTCAATACCTCAACCATAAAACCATTGCCATGGGCACCCTCTCTCCCTTCCCATTGCTGACAACCACTTACAAGTTCTTTGACTATTGTCTCTAATTGCTAGTAACAACCTCCAACCTTCGACAACCTTCAACAACATTTCTCCAGCCATTTTCTGGCAAAAACAACGTTCATCTTCATTATGTCACTACCACCACAACCTTCTCAAATCTAGTGGTGCTAAGAGAGCATGATGATGATGAGGAGAATGAGGGAGAGTGAGAGCACTACAACAAAATGCACCTTTGGCGATCAAAATTGGTGACTAACAATTTTTTTAGTCGCCAAAAGTAAAATATTTAGTTACTAATTTTTTTTAGTTGGGGTATATTCATTATTGGCCACTAAAAAAAATTTAGTCGCTAAAAATGTCAGAATTGACGACAAAAAAAAAAAAACTTAGTCGCTATATTTTGACTTTTGGCTACTAAAATATTTAGTTGCCAAATGGGAAATAAAAAAATTATTTTTTCTTTTTAGCGACTAAAGTTTTAGTTGCCAAAAGTTTACTTTCAGCGACAAAATAAAATATTGTCGTCGTATATTGACTTTTGGCTACTAAAATATTTAGTTGCCGAATGAAAAATAAAAAAAATTATTTTTTTTCTTTGGCGACTAAAGTTTTAGTCGCCAAATACTCACTTCCAGCGACAAAAAATTATTTTAGTCGCCTTTAGTTGACAAAAAGTAATTTTTTATTTTTATTTTTATCTTTGGTAACCTATCTTCAGCGACTAAAATTTAGGGTTTTTTGGGATGTTCTAAATAAATGCACTTTTTATCTTTTTAAACTAAAAAATTGAAAAAGAAAATATAAATGTTTAGATTAACTTTTTAACTTTTTATGAAAAAAATTTGTAATAAAAAATTATAAAAATTAATTTGTTAGAGAAAATTAAAATTAAGAATTGTACAACCACAATTATTAATTTTTAATAAATAATATTAACTTTTTAACTTTTTAATTAAGTTTTTAGCTTATTCTCGACTTGCCAAACTTCACCTTAGTCGGCAGATCTGTTCAAAATTTTACAGGGGGGAAATTTCATATTGGCGGCTAAATTTTTGCCCAAATTTCTTTCTCTCTTGCTCTCCCTCTGTCTCTCTCTCTCGCACAGAATCAATCACTCGTACTACCCTCTCGGCTCCCTCGAATCGATTGTGAACCCGGTTCAACCCACCTTGGCCCCGGAGGACATGGGAGCCGGACGCTTCACACTGAACATTTCTAGGGTTAATGGGTCGGTGGCGATCGATACAGGAATCGTTCAAGCTTCGGCAACACAGACTGTGTTTGATCGAAACCCAGTTGCAGTTTTGGGGTTTCGAGAGTTTTGTTCCTGGTAAATATAATCTTGTTTTTGCACATTTTTCAGCTTCATTTGTATTTGGTTCTAAAAATTTCTCACTATAACATGTTTACATGATTCATTCATTCGGTCCAATTACTTCTCAACGATAGAATTTTCTATTTTTTTTGCTGTAAAACTGTGAAAACAAGAGCTTAATGAAAACGACAGGTTTGAGGATCCTGAGTTTTCAAATTTTTTTTGTTTCCCTTCACAATAGCTTCTCAATAATTTTTTCGTGTCTTGGATTCTTCAATTCTATATTTGCTGCTTTCACCAGTTTTGTATTTGATTGCTTCTAAGAAATTATGCGTGAAATTTTTGCTTTTGATCTCAATGTAATAGAACAGGTCAGTTTTTGAAAATGTGTACAATTAGTTGGGTGACGGAGATTGATACTTCCTTAATCCTACAGTTAGATTTGTTTCTCGAACTTTCAATGTTCAGCCCCACGACTCTTCTTTGTCCCCTCTCCCTTCGACATTGTAAAACACACTAGAATATGTTGTTGAGACTGGGAGTAATTAGAAAAGGATTTTGGCTACTGACCTGATCCACTCATTCGAGCGGAGGTTCTTGGCTGCACAAGCAGAATCTGACTGGGACGATTGTTTTGATACTGGACTAATCTGTGTGAGTGGAGTCTCTGGGCAGCACAACCGGAGGTTTTTGACCTGATTGATTTTGTGCACACAAAAAATCATTGTTCTGTCTAGATTTGATTTAGCACTTTAAATAGACCTTTATAACTCCATTAGTTATAAGTTTTGTGATCTTGTTGAGAGATATATACATTAGTGAAAGATCAATAGTGTGTGCGAGATTGAGTGTGAAGAGACTTGTAATTCTTTTGTTCAGATTTTAGTTAAGTGACTCGGTGGACATAAGCCTTGAATTTGGGTGAACCATGTAAATCTCGTGTTGCTTTGTGGGTGAACCACATAAACCACAGTTTGGTCTTGTTTGCCTATGTGGTTTTGTGATCTTGTTGAGAGATATATACATTAGTGAAAGATCAATAGTGTGTGCGAGATTGAGTGTGAAGAGACTTGTAATTCTTTTATTCAGATTTTAGTTAAGTGACTCGGTGGACATAGCCTTGAATTTGGGTGAACCATGTAAATCTCGTGTTGCTTTGTGGGTGAACCACATAAACCACAGTTTGGTCTTGTTTGCCTGTGTGTGGTTTTACTTTCTCTAGATGTAGAGATGTTTTCTCTTTGGATGCACTACTCAGTAACTATTTATGTATATTTATTTTTCCTGTTTCAATATTGTACTTGGTGAAAATAAAGAAGCTTAGATCTGTTATGTTGGTTTAGAATTTTTAACATCTTTTCCACACCACAGTTTGGTCTTGTTTGCCTATGTGCGGTTTTACTTTCTGTAGATGTAGAAACGTTTTCTCTTTGGATGCACTACTCAGTAACTATTTATGTATATTTATTTTTCCTGTTTCAATATTGTACTTGGTGAAAATAAAGAAGCTTAGATCTGTTATGTTGGTTTAGAATTTTCCACATAACATACGTGGGTTTAGTTTCTATATTATTTTGAGGATTTATAAGAATGAAATTGGTCTGATTTTGACACTTTAAACTTTGTCAGAGTGCAAGTTTTATGTTTTGGTGGCTACATTTGCCGAAGGTCCTATGGACAAATTAAATGTACAAGACTGTTATAGAAATCCATAGTAGTGTATGGAAATTAACATGTATGATATTCTTTACTAATGAAAGGTTGTTGGTTATTGCTTATTCTTCTTTATGATCTGCAGTATTACAAATGCTTGGGTCATGGCTAAATGGAAAATTAGGCCAATGTATGTGGCTGTAATTTATTAAAAATTTAAAAGATGATGTTTAATATATGTATGTGTGTGTGTGTGTGTGTGTGTGTACAATGCTTTGTACATGTATTGCAGGTGAATCAATCGCTACAATTATTGTCACTCAAAAGCAGCCGGATCATTCAATCTACGCTCTACATAAGGTACCGGATTTGTAAAACAAGCGGTGGTCAGTCTCCAGGTGAATCACTTACCTTTATGCCTTAAAGACTTGTGAGGTTGATTATAGTAATAATTAAATTTCTCATTTGTAAAAGAACTTAAAAGCTATAAATTTCAATTTTCTATTTTGGAGGAAATCTGATTTATAAACTATAAATTTTGTTTCTTCGTTTAGGAAGAAAATCTGGTTAATGATTTTATCTCGAGGTTTCATTATGTTTCATCATTTATCTTATTTGGTTTCATTTCCTATGGCATAACTTGTATAATAGGGTGGGGAAGAGAAGTATCGAAAGGCATGGGCACAAATTTGCGAAATCAGTCGAAGGGGATATCAAAGAGTTTATCGATGCCTAGGAATTAAGATAGAGGAGAAGGTACTTAACTGATATTTTTCTTTCTAACTAATGACAATGTCAAACATTGATTGTATTTTCCATACCTGTTTTCTGCGCAATGGAGCCACGTAAAAAAGACACCAACTTTTGATTTCAATCTATAGCGTGCATGCTAAAAATAGAACATTCTCGGTTTATGGTTCACAGCTCCCTGTCCCACCAATTGTATATTTCATCCGATTCAAATGTATCTGCTTTAAGTCATTGTCACTTTATATTTTGACTGCTGTTATCAGGTTGGCCATTTTGTATGACTACTTGAGCTGATGCTTGCTTGATATCTAAGATCACAATTCTACAAAGGCAAAACATTGTTATTTCGTCATCTTAGTTACTTCTTGTATAGCTGTAATAACTAAAAGATTACTTTAAATTAGTGGGCACAAGAACTGTGGCAAGACTAGACTATGAATCTTAGTTGAATTACATTATTGCATATGCAATGAGGACATTAGTATGGTACAGACTTACAGTATGGGAGGCCAGAGGCCCATAAATGTAATTTATCATTGTTTATTCTTTTTTATTTTGGACTCAAGCAAATTACTCAATTCAATAGAACTAGTATTTTATATGCTAGTTTCAATCAGGAAAATTAAAAGTAAAGATATAGATAGGTGATGGGTTTGAGGTGGCATTTGGTGTTTTAGACAATGATTCCTTTACAATGGATTTTGAACAATTGTAAAATTGAAACTTTATGGAAAATGTTATACATATACATATATATATATATATGTTTATAATTATTGGATCTCATTCTTGAATGGTAGATGTGTAAGGAGTAAGGAGTGAGGAAAGTGAAGGGTGCTCGTGTGATCTTTATTGAGGGGAAAAATATGCCTTTAATTGTTATGAAGAAGGATGGTGGTTTCAACTATGCTTCCACTGATCTAGCGGCTCTTTGGTCAGTGTTTTAAAATTTGGAGTTGATTAAAGTGTAAATTATATGACCCTTCATATGTCATTCATTCTTGCATCTATACTTATATATGTTTAATGTAGCATCTGATCTGCATGATTTATATAATGCATCTCTCCATGTTTCTTCCTTTAAAGATATAAATTATATGATAGAATCATCTTGTGGCCCTATCCTCATCAGTCAGTCTAAACCTTGCTATGAGAACTGATGCTTTCTAACACTCTATGAGGGGCTGGCCCTACTTCAATTAAAGCTTGTAACTACTCATTCCGAGGTTGACCAACCTAAGCTGTTGCCTTACCTTTTGCTAAATGAAATATTTACTTAACCAAAAAAGAAAAGAAAAAAGGGATGTGGTTGCTTTACCTTTGCTTCCACACTAGCAAGTAGAAACTAGTGTGAGATGCATAAATTGCCATGGATATTGTGCTACTGCCTAGATAAGGACTAAGATAATGAGAACCTAGGAAATCATGCTAGAGCCAATGGAACCTTAGCCTTGTACCAACTGAACGAGTTGAAAATTTTGGGTATATTGTTGTGTTTGAGATGAATGGCGGGAGGAGCTAATTCCATCAGGCATGCTTAGGTTTGGTCCAACTCAAATTTCTGTTGCTTTGTTATCAGGATTGAGGTAAAGCGTTTTGTAGGCATTAAGACTGTTTATGATGTCTGGATTTTGCTTCCAAATTATATCAGCCAGCTGGATGAGTTGGGCATTAATTGTTAATTTTCCAAGTCCCATACTACCTTGCCTTGAGAAAATGGCGAAGCACTTGTTGCTTGTCTGATGGTTCTATTGAATTATCATTATGAATCTCTATGCTTGGTCATATAGTAAAAATTACTAAAATAAACACAGAAAAAGGAAGAAAGACATGGCAAAACATCTGAACAATACTATGTCTCTTATGCTTAATATGTCTCTGATATTTTGTGTTTAGGTAGAGTTTGGGTAAGGTTGAATAGTTGTTATCTTCTGCCAATTTGAATATTTGGATATGAAATGAAACAATAAATCCTTGTGATTGACACCTTGGCGAAAATTCAAAACAGCCCCCGAACGACCGTGTGGTTCACACGGATAGCTTTGCCATGACAAATAGGACTTGTGATAACTGACGGAACGTAATTCGGACCCGTAAGTTGGGAGTTAGAGCCGAATACGCCCTAAACTTAGTCAAAAAAGGGCTTTTTGGTGGCGAAAATTCAAAACAGCCCCCGAATGACAGTGTGGCTCGCACAGATAGCTTTGCCATGACAAATAGGACTTTTGAAAACTGACGGAACGTAATTCGGACCCGTAAGTTGGGAGTTAGAGCAGAGTACGCCCTAAACTTGGTCGAAAAAGGGCGTTACAGGGGCGAAAATTCAAAACAGCCCTCGAACCACCGTGTGGCTCACAGACAGTTCCCCCATGACCAATAGGACTTGTGACAATTGACGAAACATAATCCGGACCTGTAAGTTGGGAGTTAGAACCGAATACGTCCTAAACTTAGTCGAAAAAGGAATTTCCGGTGGCGACAATTCAAAATAGCCCCCGAACCGCCGTGTGGCTGACACGAACACCTTCCCCATGCCAAATAAGACTTGTGACAACTGACAGAATGTTATTCGGACCTGTAGGTTGGGATTTAGAGACGAATATGCCAAAACTTAGTCGAAAAAGGGTGTTTTGGGGGCAAAAATTCAAAACAGCCCTTGAACCACCGTGTGGCCGACACGAACACCTTTCCCATGCCAAATATGACTTGTGACAAATGACGGAATGTTATTCGGACCCGTAGGTTGGGATTTAGCGCTGAATACGCCCAAAACTTAGTCGAAAACGGGCGTTTCGGGAGCGAAAATTCAAAACAGCCCTTGAACCACCGTGTGGCTGACATGGGCAGCTTCCCCATGCCAAATAGGACGTGTGACAAATGATGGAATGTTATTCGGACTCATAGGTTGGGATTTAGAGCTGAATACGCTCAAAACTTAGTCAAAAAAGGGCGTTTCGGGGGCAAAAATTCAAAACAGCCCCCAAACCGCCGTGTGGCCGACACGAACAGCTTCCCCATGCCAAATAGGACTTGTGATAACTGACGGAATGTTATTCGGACCCGTAGTTTGGGATTTAGAGCCGAATACGTCCTAAACTTAGTCGAAAAGGGCGTTTCGGGGGCGAAACTTCAAAACAGCCCTTGAATCGCTGTGTGGCCGACACGAACACCCTACCCATGCCAAATATGACTTGTGACAAATGACGGAATGTTATTTGGACCCATAGGTTGGTATTTAGCGCCGAATACGGCCAAAACTTGGTTGAAAAAGGGCGTTTCGGGGGCAAAAATTCAAAACAGCCCTTGAACCGCCGTGCGGCCGACACGGGTAGCTTCCCCATGCCAAATAGGACTTGTGACAACTGACGGAATGTTATTCGGACCTGTAGGTTGGGATTTAGAGCCGAATACGCCCAAAATTTAGTCGAAAAAGAGCGTTTCGGGGGCGAAAATTCAAAACAGCCCTTGAACCACTGTGTGGCCGACACGGGTACCTTCCCCATGCCAAATTGGACTTGTGACAACTGACGGAATGTTATTCGGTCCCGTAGGTTGGGATTTAGAGCCGAATACGCCCAAAACTTAGTCGAAAAAGGGTGTTTCAGGGGTGAAACTTTAAAACAGCCCCCGAACCGCCGTGTGGCTGACACGAACATCTTCCCTATGTCAAATATGACTTGTGACAACTGACAGAATGTTATTTGGACCCGTAGGTTGGGATTTAGAGACAAATACGCCAAAACTTAGTCGAAAAAGAGCGTTTCGGGGGTGAAAATTCAAAATAACCCCCGAACCGCCGTGTGGCCAACATGAACAGCTTCCCCATGCCAAATATGACTTGTCATAACTGACAGAATGTAATTTGGACCCCTAGGTTGGGAGTTAGAGCCGAATACGTCCAAAACTTAGTCGAAAAAGGGTGTTTCGGGGGCGAAAATTCAAAACAGCCCTTGAACCGCCTTGTGGCCGACACGAACACTTTCCCCATGCCAAATATGACTTGTGACAAATGACGGAATATTATTTGGACCTGTAGGTTGGGATTTAGTGCCGAATATCAAAACTTAGTCGAAAAAGGGCGTTTCGGTGGCGACAATTCAAAATAGGCCCCGAACTCCCGTGTGGCCGACACGAACACCTTCCCTATGCCAAATAGGACTTGTGACAATTGACGGAATGTTATTCTGACTCGTAGGTTGGGATTTAGAGCCGAATACGCCCAAAACTTAGTCGAAAAAGGGCGTTTCGGGGGCGAAGCTTCAAAATAGCCCTTGAACCGCCGTGTGGCTGACATGAACATCTTCCCTATGCCAAATATGACTGATAATTGATTCATCATGGAAGGTTGCTTCTCACTTATTTTTATTTGTCACTTGTTGCCAAATTCATTCATGAAGTTGGGCATTTTTGGATCCAATTCTAATGTTTTTTTTGTTTTTTGTAGATGACTTTGGTGCGTGGACTTCCAGAGATATTTTGGTGTATGGAGAAGAAATTGTACTTTTGTATAGAAGTAATATAATACTTTTGTCGTCTCTGTCTTTTGTGCAGTTAACTATTACTGATACATAGAACTTTTGGTAGCCAACAGATAATTACTAGCATGGTAAATAGATCACCTTTCGTTGCTGTACAGATATATGATTTTTTGTCGTGGTACATAGATGTACTTTTGGCTTGGTACATAAATCACCTTTTGTCGTGGTACAGATTACGATGGGAATTTGTACCATGTCAAATGGTCATTTCACATGGTATAGTAAATGTAATTTTTGTATATGGAGGGCTTCACTTTTTGTATGATTCTATATTTTATATGGAATTATTATTTTAGTTTGGACAATAGTTGGTTTGTATGTACTTGGACAGCTAAAGTAATTTATTTTTTGTATACGGATGCAGATTGTGGAATGATTGATAGTTTATGTATCATTTTATTTATATACGTATTACAGGTTGCATGGAATACAGACAGGTTATGGACACATTATAATATTTGCAATAAAACATAATATCTTGTTTTTGTCGACTAAACGTTTTGTAGCCAAAAAAAAGGGGAAAAAAAAAAAAACATTTGGCTACAAAACTTTTAGTAGCCAAAAGAAAAATAACCAGTTGGCTATTAAATATTTTGTAGCCAAAAGAAAATCAAACATTTGGCTACTAAAAGTTTTGTAGCCAAAAGAAAATCAAATATTTGGCGACTAAAATCTTTCGTAACTAAAAACAAAAGCTGAAGAATAAAAAAAAAGTACTTTTGCCGACTAAAAATTTAGTAGCAAAAAATGTGGGAGTTTAGGTGACTAAATTTTTGATAGCAAAAAATGTGGAAGTTTAGGCGACTAAATTTTTAGTAGCCAAAAGAAACACTATTTGCCAATTAAAATTTTAGTAGCAAAAAAAGATTGACTTTAGGCAACTAAAATTTTAGTAGCCAAAACACTTGTATTTGCTTTAGGTGACTAAATAATTTAGTAGCTAAAAATTTTTTTGCGACTAAATTATTGGCTTTTGGCGACAAAAAAATTGGTCGACAAAAATGTATTATTTAATTAATTTTCCAACCTATTGGCGACTAAATATTTAGTCGGAAAATGAGTATATTTGGCGACTAAATGAAGTTTAGTCGCCAATTAGCTTTCCCGACTACTCTTCGGCTATTAATTTTCCGACCAAAAAATTTTGTCGCTAAAGACTATAGGCGACTAAAAAATGACTTTTGGGCACTAAAAATTTAGTCGCCAAAAGTGAAAATTCTTGTAGTGGAGTGAGAGGGATGAAAAGGGGAAAAAAAAAAAAAATCCCTTACCAGAAAATAGTTCTTCTCAATCTTCACTATCGTAGATTAATGCAAGAACTAAAGACACAATAAGTGACAAATTTATCAACAACTAATTTGTAAAAAAAGTATAGATGGAAAATCTGATTCACTCAATTTCACTCACACTCACTGACAAGACCCCCCCTTAACATACACACACAGGGAATAGGAGAGTGATAAATTTATTTTAATTTATTAGACTCGTTCTTTAGATTTTACAAACAACAGATCTAGTTGCGCAAATCTTCACCAACAAATTGATGAAGATCCATACCTATTTAGAGAGAGTAAGAGAAAGAGAGATCCAATCTCATTGATAGGAGCTCCGACGACCCTGTCATAGCTACATCTTGATGACAACGAGACCTATGGTACAAGATTGGCGTAGAAGATACTAGATCAGTGATGGAGAAGGAAATGGTGGTAGTGGTCATGTCAAAATTAATATATCGACATAGAGGAAGCGGATGATAGTGGTAGCCAAGGGCGTAGCTACGTGTAGTTTAATGGGTTCAATTGAACCTATTAAACATTCAATTGTTCTTAGGATTATGTAGTATGTATTGTGGGTGTTTGAGAAGTGGGTTTTTTTGTAGGTTTTTTTAGTTGTAGGATATTATTGGAGATTTTTTTTTTGTGTTTGGGAAGATAGTTGGATTTTTTGTGGTCGGATGTGATATTTGTGAGAGAAAAAATGAAATGATTATGGAGTTTGATGTGATTTTTTGTTTGGATTGGTTTTTTTTTGATTTTGTAAAACATTTGTCTTGTAGTGAAAAAAAAAAAAGCCTAAAAACTAAGTTGCCAAACACTGCTATTATGTAAAATTTTTAAAGGCTATTATAAATTGGCAAGACAAAAATTGTTAAGAAATAAATAAGATGGTGTCAAATATGATTTGTAAACATAAAGTTTATATATATATATATATATAAACTAATCCAAAATAACGTGTTAATGATATTTCTGAAATTATGAAGACTAAAAGAATTTGAAGAAGATCATTTTATTTTCCTTATTTTCCAATCAATACAAATTGTGTCTCTTATATAATCACTGTAACTGCCTAACTCAATTAATCAACTAACTAACCATGGTTATGTTATCATAACTTCCTAACAGGTTCTTCCAACCACCACAAGTGGATTGTAACCTCCTCAACTTCATACATGTGCTCATCCCTTGGGCATTAGCCACAGATGACTTGACCAACTCCTTGAGCTGGAGCTGTGGCTTGTTCTGCAACTGGTGTAGCTCTGTTCTTAACTTAGGCTTGGACTGCAAATGAGGCTTTGCTTATGACTTGAGCTCTGCCTTAAGCTCTGTCTTATGCTGTGGCTTAACATGCCCTCTCAAGCTTAGGGGAGCCATCAGGACCATAAGCCTGGATTGTAAGTATTGAAACCTCTGATTGGAAAGGGGTTTTGTTAAAATATTGGCCAATTAATCAGAAGTTGAAATGTGATTGATTTTGAGCTGTTTAGCTGCCACTCTCTCTCGAACATAATGGTAATCAACTTCTAAGTGTTTTGTTTGAGCATGAAAGGCAGGATTAGAGGAAAGAGAGATGATAAATACATTATCACACCAAAGAGTAGGTGGAGGAATTGAAATGTGAAGATCAGATAAGAGCATGGTAAGCCAGCTGAGCTCTGCTGCTGTTTGAGCTAAGGCTTGATACTCGACCTTAGTAGAAGAGTGACCAACAGTTGGCTGCTTTTTAGCAGACCATGAGATCAAATTTGGGCCAAGAAAAACACAAGGAAAACACAATCAAATTTGGACCAACACAAGGAAAACATAATCAGGAAAACACAATCAAATTTGGGCCAACATAGAACTCCTTTCATAAGAATTTCTAGCCCAATCAGAGTTAGAGTAAGCTTAAAAAATCAGAGGACTAGGATTAAATTGTAGCCTAAGGTCAATAGTACCTTTAAGATATCACAGAAGGCGTTTGACATGAGCAAAATGACTAACAAAAGGTAGATGCATAAACTGGCAAGCATAGTTCACAAGAAAGGAAAGATCGGGAAGAGTTATAGTTAAGTATTGAAGAATATCAAAAATGCTTCTATAAAGAGAAGGATTAGAAAATGGGACATCAGTAGAGGAATCAATCTATTTAAGAGCCATAGGAGAGGAATATGATTTACAGTCAGACATGCCAACTTTGGCAAGGATCTCAGTAGCATATTTGTGCTGAGAGAGAAAATAGACTTGAGAAGAAGAAGTGGCTGCAATGCCAAGAAAGTAATTTATAAACCCAAGTTCTTTCATGGAAAAAGTGGAGTGCATTTGCTTAACAAGTTGAGCAATGGAAGAAGAATCACTGCCAATTAAAATTATATCATCCACATACATGAGTAAAATGAGAATAGAAGAGACAATTTTCTTAACAAACAGGGAGGAATCACAGTGACTAGAAAGAAAGCCCTGAGATTGAAGAAATGTGGAGAAGGTGGAATACCAGGCCTTTGGAGCTTGTTTAAACCCATAAAGAGACTTGTGAAGCTTACAAACAAGATGAGGAGAAGAGGCATCAATGAAGCCTTGAGGCTGGTGCATATATACTTCCTTATCTAGGACACCATGGAGAACGGCATTTGAGATATCAAGTTGCTTGATTTGCCATTGAAAATGTAGAGCTAAGGATAGAAGAACTCTGACAATTGGCTGTTTGGCAACAAGACTAAATGTCTCATGAAAATCAATGCCCTCTGTTTGGAGAAAACCTTTAGCAACCAAACATGCCTTATAACTTGCAATAGTGCCATCTGAATTTTTCTTAATTCTGTACACCCATTTAGAACCTATGGTTGGTTTTTCAGGAGGTAATGGCACAAGAGACCATGTGGCTTGTCTTTGTAATGCTCAAAATTCACCCATCATTACAGCTTTCCATTGAAAAGATTGAGCTGCTTCTTTGTAAGAAGATGGTTCTATGGAATCAGTGGAAGCTAAGAAACAAGTGGACACTGGCTTGGTCTTAGACTTGGTAAGTATATGATGGTTATTTTGGGAAGGCATGCTTAGAGGTAAATCTACAGAAATAGATGAAATATGGATAGGAGAAGGAGAAATAATTAAGTGATTGGTAGAATCTAGGAAAGAGGAGATAGGTGCTGCAGAAATAGAAGAGATAAGTGCTGCAGCAGATGAATAAGGGGCTACAGCAAGAGAAATTACAGAAATAGGGACTGCAAAAGCTGTAGCTGGAGGAACTGTAGATGTAGGAACAATAGGTGCTGCAGAAAAAACAGAACTAGTTGGTGACATAGGTTGTGAGGCAGGACTGGTTGGAGGCCAGAAGGAAGTCTGAAGTCGAAGTAAAGTAGGAGCTGGAACAGTAGCACAGAGAGAAGAGTGTTGAAAAGGAAAAGTGGTTTCATCAAAGAGGGCATGCCTAGAAATATAAATTCGACTACTGGACACGTCAAGGCATCTATATCCCTTTGTTGAAGGCTGATAGCCAAGAAAAACACAAGGAATGGATCTTTGTTGAAGTTTGTGTGTGGTATATAGGGTCTAAGCCAAGGATAGCACCTATATCCAAAGACCTTCAAAAAATTATAATCAGGAGAATGTTTAAACAATACTTCAAAAGGAGCTAGATTGTCAAGCTTGGAAGTAGGATGCCTATTAATGAGAAAAGCAGAAGCAACAAGAGCATCAAGCCAAAATTTTATGGAAAGAGAAGATTGATGCTGGAGAATGATTGTAGTTTCAATTCAGTGTCTATGTTTCCTTTTAGCCACTCCATTTTGAGCAGGGGTATGTGGACAAAGTGAGTTGATGTTCAATACCATTAGTTTTATGAAAATTCTAAAATTTAGTAGCCAAATATTCTCCTTCATTATCACTTCTCAAAATTTTAAGTTTGGTGTGAAACTGTGTTTCCACAAAAGCTTTAAATTGAACAAACTTGGAGAAAACTTCACTCTTGTAAGAAAGAGGAAAAAACCATATAAATTTGCTATAGTCATGAATGA